AGCAACCATTGGCCACACCAACGAAATTTAACGATTTTTTTTTTAAAATAATATTTTTAAAAAAAATTATAAAAAAATATTTATTATACATTATTTATCCAAATAGAATTCTTTCTTATTCACATTCAGAATTTCACTATGGAAGGAAGTACGTGTCTCACTGTAATATAAAATTAAATATTAGATTGTTGAAAAACTTGAATAACAATTTTCATTCTCACCCTCACTTTATCCAAGGAATCCTATATGATCTATAGCTGAAAATATTGTAAAACTATAAGAGGCAAATCCCTTAATGTTAGCTCCCAGATATTTATAACTAGAAACAAACATCACAAACCAAAAAGAGAAGAAAATGAGGAAAAGATAAAATAAGGTTATATTGAACTTTAATTGGTCTTATATTATAATAAATTAGTTGAAACAATTATTAAAATAAAAACAACAACACAACATCTATTAATATATGAAAACTATAATTTTTTAATTAATGTTTTAAAATTTCATGTATTTACCTTAAACTAATTATATTAGATTGAGACTAAATAAAAATACAATAATCTAATACATTACAAGTGACAAAAACAAAACAAGCATAACTTATAATACATAATTATTTTATCACAATGTCAAAATCTTTGTATATTTTTTGATCAACAAAAGAATTAAAACAATGTTAAATGAGAATAATAATACTCTCAAACTTGTTGCAATGACTTTATAAACATAGCTTTATTAAAATTTTGTGTGACTAAGCATGGTTATATTTCAATCATTGATACCACAAAACATGATTATACATAATTTTTATTTATTTATAAAACTATCAAAACAATACTAATTGATGTTATAAATGCTCTAGAGCGTGCAACAACTTTATCAACAAAAAATCATTAAAAAATAAATAATTATAATAAATATAAATTAATCTATGTATAATTATTTTTAATTAATTAAACATCTTAATTTCATGTTGTCTTTTCTCAATCATGATTTTCTAGTTTCAATATGTATACTAATGAACTTATAAGAAAACTGATAATACAACATCATTAATTAGGGATGATAAATATACCCGTATCCGCGGGTAATACCGAACCCGTCTCGACTTTGACGGGAAATACCCGATTTGACTGGGTACAGGTACGGGTAAAACCCGATATATTAAATCGGATATGGGTACAGGTACGAGTATGTACTTACCCACCCCGTACCCGTACCCGTACCCGTCCCTGTTCCCATTTTTAATTTAATATCCACTTTCAATTTAATTATATTAAAGAATTTTAATATTTTTTTCATGTGTAATTATTTATTATAATATGAGATAAAAAAATAACCTAATTATAACTATAATATAATTAAAAAAACAATTTAAAAATATTATATTTTTAAAAAAAAATAAATAATAAAAAATTTGACAGGTACGGGTACGAGTACAGGTATACCCGATACCCGACGGGGACCGGGATGAGGATAAAAATCACATACCCGACGGGGACGGGTACGGGGACGGGGATGAGTTTGGCTTGCGGGGACAGGGACGGGTATCATGAAACTCGTACCCGCCTCGCCCCGTTGCCATCCCTATCATTAATCATGTGATTCATGTTATAAATAAATATTGATTCTTATTAATTATAATGATAAGTATAAATTAATTTTTAATTATCAATTTTAAAATATCGTATAAATTATGTCTATAAAAAATAATTTATTATTACGTCATGAATAACAAATTTCAAATGTTGATATATATATATATATATTTTAATATAATAGGTTCATAATAACATAATAAATTGATTTAAGGAATCTTATTTTTTAAAAATATTATATTTAATAGAATAAACAGTTTTTTGCGTTTTCTGCTTTTTAAGTGTGTTTGTCTAAACCGTATATTTTTATTTTACGTGTTTCATTTAAAAAACAATTTTTAAAAATCATTTTTATATAAATTAAAAGTTATAAATCAACCATTATTTATAATTAATTTTAGAATGAAATTAATCTTATTAATAATTAGTTTTTAACCTTTATTTTGAATATACAAATTTTTTGTTATTTTCTATTTGGACGAATCTCAGTATTAACACCTTAATATATATAATAAGATAATACTTATTTTGAGTCAACAAAAATTTCTTCCGTTATTCTCCATTTGGCCAAAAAAATTTTGAGAAAAAATTATTTCAAATATTAACAACTTTTATATAATAAGATGAGATAATTCTTATTTTGAGTGATTTTTTAATCATTATTTGTCATTTTTTTAATGAGAAAAAAATACTCTAAATGTTAACATTCTTAGAGCAACTCCGATGGGAGTTGCTTGTCTTATGAAAGAATTCAAGTCCCGATTTTTTGCTATTGGAGGATTCTGACGTGACAACATGAGTTGCTTGAAGAAGAGAAATAGTTATTTCCTCAAACAACCGTTCCTTACCAGATTTCAAGTAGATCTTATTGAACATATTTGGGAATGTTTCGGAAATAATAATGATGAAAATTAATTTCGTATAATATTTATATATTTACTATTGCTTTATTTTATTTTTAATATCTATTTATTGTGTATTTTTTTCTCGTAATTTATTTTCTTTCATTATAGTTTTTAATAAAAATTTAAATTTGGTTCATAAATGATTAAATTTTTTTTCCAAAAGTTAAATTTCTTAAAGTTTTTTATCATTGGAGTAAATTTGTGTTTGAGTTGCTTAATACTGACATGGCACACTAAAGATCACTTTTTTCATTTTTCAATACATGAAGCAACTAAAATAAGTTGTTTTCATTGGAGATGCTTTAAGATTTATATGTATAATAAAAAGAGAAATGTTAGCAACACATTATTTATTCTTTCAAACATATTTTCTCTCATTGGTTAAAAGTTTAAAAAAATATAAAATTTGATGAATTTCACGTATCATTTAATGACTCACTTTCCTAATTTTATAATTTTTAATAAATTATAATTATTAAAAACAAGTAGTGCATTTCTAACATTCCTTACACACAAAAAAAAGAAGATAAAAGTTACACATAATTTAAATTCTTAATTGGAAAAGCCGACGAGTCATAAATTTAATCTTTAGTTATATTATATTAAGGGGGGTGTATTGGATTAGGATTTTAAAGGACTTTTTTAGTTTAAAAAAATCCTGCGGGTTTTAAAAGACTTTGCAGGATTTTCATGACTTTTAAGATTTTGCAGGATTCTACAAGACTTAAAATCAGGATTTTAATGGATTCTGCAAGACTTTTAAATCAGGATTTTAATGGATTCTGTGAGATTTTATGGAGTTTTGACATTTGATAAGATTTTTTTAAAAAAATCATACATTTAAATTTAAAAAGAGTCAAAGACAAAAATAATAATAAAAAAAATAATGTCTAGATAAATAATAATAATAATTATTCATAATATCCTATATTCTTTTTATAGCATCCACTATCAATTGTAACAATTCATCGGAATCCTCCTTGGTCCAAGCTTCATAGTTTTCTTTCTCTTTTCCTTTTTCTTTATTATTTCCTTGTGAATCTCCCATTTGAATTACTAAAACAATATATGTTGAAAACTAGTTATATAAATAATTATGGATAAGAGACAAAATCAATAAAATTATATTATTATTTTTAGAAGCACACCAATCATACAAGATCGAATATATCTTAGCTATCCAAATGGATCAAATACCTCAGTCATTATAAAAAAAACATGTAAAAATGAAAATATAGAAATTTTTAACGATATTTATAAATGTAAATTATTCTAACAAATATTTTAACAATATTTCTTTTTTTAAAAAATAAGCTAATGAAAGCATAAATCCTAAACCCTAAAAAATTAGATACTACAATGTCTTATGTTAATTTTTTTTTAAATATAAAAAAATCTTAATTTCACAATATATAAATAAAAAGAAAAATTCATAGTAAAAAAATAAAATAATTTTTAAGTCATAAAAGGATAAGGAATAAGAGTAACAAATTCAAGGGAAGGAGAGAGTTCGCAATTTTTATGCTAAGAGGGTTCTTCCCCCAATTAAGATCCATTTTCATCTCATTCTACTCATAGAAACCCTAACAAATTCATCTTTTATATATATATATATATTGTAGAGATTGTGATATTAATTTCATCTTTCACCTTTTTCTTTTTTGACGTGTGTTATAAAAAAAATTATCACTTAAAAGTTGAAATTTCAAGTATTTTTTTTTTTTATATAAATGAACAAATTCAACTACATAGAATAAAATAAAGCAAGTCAATTAAAGATAACGAACAGAAAAATAAAACAAGTTAATGACACTATTATTTACATATTAGAGTTTCACAAAATAGGAGAATGAGATGAGAATAATACTACAATATTATATATGAGCAATGAACAATAGTGTGGTATTATTAGTAGAGAAAAAATGGAGAAGACAGGAGCATAGAAAAAAAAAGATGAAAAAATCACTTGAAAATTCTTGAAACACTTGAAAAATCACTTCAAACAATCCTTCAAAATCCGATGGGTTTGGATGAGATTGTTTTATGAATCTGGTATTTATAGATAACACTATAAAGTCCTTCGAAATCCCTCTCACACAACAATCCTTTAAAATCCTTATATTTTTGAATACCAATAGATTATTTTTAAGTTGTAAAAAATCTCAAATGAATACCAGTGGATTTTAATGGACTCTTTAAAAAATCTTGAAAATCCAGATCGAATACCACTAGATTGTTTTTAAGTGACATAAAATTTTGATTGAATATCAATGGACTTTTTTGCTCAAAAAAAGTCTTTTAAAATCCTACGAAATCCTAAACCAATACACCCCCTAAATTTAATTTTAATACATATACATTGATAGTATAAATATTTTTATATTTTATATTTTCAACTAATAAATATTATAAGATCAATATTAAATAAATCGGCGAGTTTCGAAATTCAAACGCGGCGTTAACAAAAGAAGAGAGAGAGAAAATGAGAATTAGGGTTTTGAAATGTAAAATTTAAATAGAAGCAAAAGTGTTTCGTATTACAAATACAATTCACATTTTCCCCTTCGGCGCGGTGGTCTATTTTCTCAGCGTTCTGGTTTGGGAGGGAAAATTGTAAAAGCCCAAAAATTGAGTCTGAATCGATCACATTCACAACTCAACCTTCAATTCCACCCACCAGGATCAGGTACTCTCTCTCTGTTTCAATTTCTGCTCCCCAATCAGGAATTCAGAACCGTTTGTTTATTTATTTGTTGAGAATGAGAAAACTCGTCATACGATTAATTTATTAATTTTTTTATTTAGTTTCAAGTATTATTGTAGTATCGTGCTTCTATATGCTAATAGCTCATAGGCATGTTCTTCATCCTCCAGTGCTTTGGCCGGGCCATATTCAATTGAATTCTCGGTTATTCTCTAATTTCTCACATTTTCTAGAACAACTTGACTGACTATCTTACCTGGAGATCTTAATTGGCCGATTCCCTATTTTATATACGAAGTTCGTCATTGTTTTAATATGTTGTTTGTTGACGGATTAATAGTACTATCTGCTGTTTGCCTTGTTAATTTTTTGGATCCAGCTTGCTCACTTTAGTGGCGTAAAGTAATCTCAATTGTTGGTGAGAAAATTAGCTGTCGATATTATGTGTACATCCATAAAAAATCATGCGTGTGTTGGAATATTAATCATTAATTTTCTTTTCAATGACTGAGATTACTTTATCTTTACTCCTTTCAGAGAATCAAGTCCTACTGTTTCTTTTTCCTTGATTTAAGTTGCAGGAGAAAATGAAAAATGAATTGCATTAGTAGATAGATTTCATAGGTTCCGAAATGTGCCAATATTCAGCTCAAGGAACTACTTTGTAATCTTATTAGTGAGCTTATGTCTGTGTTAACTGTACTTATTGCTCAATACCGAGGGACCCAACTCCTTTGTCTTAGCTCAGCTCTTTCAGCCAATTTTATTTTAATATATATGTTATTGGTTTGGTTTGCAGATATTAGTTCCAGTCCCTTAAATAGAGAATATAATATGAGTACTACAGTGCAAAGAACTCCAAGATCCGGTAGGCAGTCTTTATTTTTCCAGGATTTAGCTTCACCTGTTTCTGCCTGTAGAGGAAAGTTTTCAAGTCCTGGTCAGGCAGCAGCAGTATCTGCACTATGGCGTGAGAACACTTCCGACCTTCCTCCACCTCCTGTTTTCACCCTGGAGGACAGATCAGACTTTTCTCCTGAATCAGGCATACTAGATTACCAAATGTCCCCCGAGCCTAAGTCAGACAATAAAACTCCCATTCAAACATCAAATAGGGAATTCTCAACTCCAGTGAAAAGCAAATCTGAGGCCAGCACATCTTATGCTTTGAGAGGGTTACAACAAAACCAACAGGGCTCGCCAGGTTTGAGTTGGTGGTCACCTACAACTGCAAAGAGTGGTGGGGACAGAGATGAGAAGGGAAGAAGTTCGCCAGTTGAGGGTGTGGTTCAGCCTGGTGCTTTGATAACTCTTCCTCCACCACTGGAAGTGGCAAGGCCAGAGGTTCAGAGAAATTCTCTGCCAGCAGGGAATCTCAACGAGGAAGAATGGGTAACTGTATACGGGTATGTCTTAAGTCTGCTTTAGCATTGGTGTTTTTCTAATGCTGAGGAGTACATGTGATGTATTCCACTAAAAATCTAATTATAAACAGTTGTTCTTTTAATTCTGCACATTTTCCTACAAACATACCTAGAAAAGTGAATAAAATATCAGCATCGATTTTTACTTCTTTACTCCTAAAAAATCAAGAGAAGTTGCTCCAAACACTTGAGAGCTAATCCATGTTTCCTAAAGAATAAAAAGAGCTTATTCCAAATGGAAAGACTGCTGGGCAATGTAAGAATTAAGAGCAAATTTATAGCTATTTCTGAGTAACAATGGCAACTCATGTTGCATAATTGTGCATATTACTGGGGAGAAAAATCTGTCAATTCAATTTTGTAATATTTCATTGGTATTAATTAGACTATTAGTTTATATAATGATAATTATCTTAAAGGCTTCAAATGGATTGCCAAGTGTCTATGTAATAGGCATATAGGTGTAATAGCCATAAGACGACCACTTGGACAGTATGGTGGTGTTTGAATGGAACATTCACATGGGATTCATGGGAATACCAACGTGGGGGGAGGATTGAGGAAGGTGGGAATTTTGTTAGAGAAATTACTGCAAGGAGAGAGTGGGAGGGTAGACAAAAAGTGGAATTGGGGCCCTTTAGACGGTGAGCAAGTTTGCATCTCAAAGAGCTATTCTAGTGGCTGTTATTTTCCATTTTGTTTCTTTAATTTTTGGGTTAGATTCCCTGTTTTATGTAATAAAAAGAAGTTCCTATTAGTATGTTATTTTCAGTAAGTACCTTGGGAGATACAGCGATTCCTGATTTTAAGGGGTGAACAATACCTAAAAGATTAAGAGTGGTTGTGGCAGTTTCATAAAAGTACGTGAATGGTGTTTTAATGTGAAGAGAGGTGTGGAAGTTTTGGTTTAAAAATAACGAGAGATTGAAATGTGACATTGTTGACAAGGTGCAGATGGCGTCCTATCACAACTGTAATTATTTTATTTATGCAAGCTTTTTTAGGGTGGGATATACATTACATATATTTTACTTGTCTGATTTCATTATAAGACCCAAAATATACTCACTCTTTTGACGATACTTGACCCTTGATGCTTTATTTTTTATACATCCTTTTTTTTTCCCACTTCTATGATCTTCAATTATCTATTTCAATCTTTTGATTGTTTGTTGTTTTAAGCTTTAAGTCTTAAAAGATAAGTACAAAGGATATAATTTGAGTTCCTAGTCTCTCAAGATTTGACATGTTTATGGTTTTAGTCAAGTGTTGAATGTTGTGTTTGATGATAATTATCAAGATTTATTTCTTTTTTTGTGATGTAACTCTGTTTTTGTGTTTTAAATTTATGTCATCTTTTGTCTTTGTATTTTGTAATATTTTATTATTATCATTTTATAGTACTATCATCTTGAATGGATTAAATAAGTTATTTTTTTTTAAAAGTTGTATGACATTCTTTTTTCTACAAAATATAAATGTGCTATTAACAACTAAGGACTGATTTGTTAATAGTATAATTCTTCTTGCCTAGCTGACGAACAGTGTGTATTTTGGGATTTTCTAAGGTGTGGTTTTTCCTTTAAATGTATTTTTTTTTAAGCTTGGAGGATATGGTCTTAAATATTTTTGAGACCTGTAGAGTTTTTTGTTTCTTTTTTTAGATGTCATACGAGTGTCAAGTCCTAAAATCAGCCTCTCCATCTTGTGGGCAAGGTTGTGCATGTCTACCCTCCCGACCTCCTCTCTAGGTGGGAGCTATTTTGATTAGGGATATCAATAAACTGAAGTACTGTTTGTATTGAGAAAGTGTTTGGTTTTCATTATCTATTTTTTTTCACTAATAGACTAATAGTTACAAAATTATTACTTTGTTCTTACTTTTTTTTTTTATTGTTTTAAAAACAAAATATGAAATAATGAAAATAATATTGTGTTTTCACTGTTTGCTAAAAAATCTTTTAAAATAGAAAACAAAGTGACTTTTTATTATTATTTATAATTATCAGTGAAAACAAAAAACTACTTTAATCAAATGGGCCTTATAAGTTAAACTTTGTATTTTCTACATACCAATATACATTCTTCTAACAATGCTCTTTCCGTGCAGATTTTCTCCAGGAGATACTAACATGGTTTTAAGGGAGTTTGAAAAATGTGGTGAAATTTTAAAACATGTTCCTGGTCCTAGAGATGCTAACTGGATGCACATTTTATACCAGGTTCGCAACCTTTTGCTTGCTTGAATGTAATGGTTAATTTTTTTCTTTACGAGGCATTAGTTTTGTTCTATTCCAAGACTATCCATGGTACTTGTCATTTTATCAATATGTATCGGGAAATTATTCCTTTATTTGGTGTCTGCCTGTACATTGCTTAACAAAATTAAATTTCTAGTGTTTTTCAACCAATTTGGTGTCTGCCTGTACATCGCTTAACAAAATTATTGCTGATACAGAATCGTTCTGATGCACAAAAAGCTCTAAACAAGAATGGAATTCAAATTAATGGAGTACTAATTGTTGGTGTGAAACTGTTGGATCCCATGCAACGTCAAGCTTTAAATGAAAGGCTTAACAATCAAGGATTCATGCCCTTACCTCTACCCTCTACTAGAAACTCAGAAGTGAGCACACTGAAAGCTCCTTCTCGACCTTACTATCTGCAGAATGGAAACTCAACTGCACGGCAGACTGGAGGAGCCATTGCTTCCCCAACAAAATCATTAGTGTCCAAGATCATGGACTTGATGTTTGGAGTCTAAATTAGATGTTCTGCTGAATCAAACTAATATTGTTCTGTTTGTTGTAAGCAATGAGTTTACTCGGTTATTCATACACTATGTAAGAAGTTCGGCATGTCTTGTTCATTGGGTTGAGTTGGAATGTTTACTCTGGATTTCAATTGTCAGAATTTATGGCATTTTAACATTGCAATCATATGGATGACTATACAATAAATCAGTACTTGTTAGCGTATGTTTTGAGAAGTGAGAACATAATAATATATAACTACATGATGTAAATCTGATCATTGTCCAGGCAGTAGAGATTTTGGATAAGAGCAGAATGACGTTTATGTTATGCAACCTGATATCGTGTAATGGAATAAGGTTTAGGTTGCGTTATTCTAGGCCCGAGTCTAGCGGGAAGAGACTGACTGATCTTCTACAATGTGGTAAACTCCGGTTTGAATATTGCCGAAATAGGTGTTTATATTTAGTATCTAATTGTGTTTTATGATTTTTGAAGTATGAGTAACAAAAAAATAACAACACTCAAAGTAGATGGAAGTTACATTATTTTGAATCCTTTGATTCATAAGTTGATTGGATGAGTGTTTTTGAACATTGCAACTTGTTTAAATCAAATGCCACAACCGGACGATTACTGCTCTTTAAAAAAATTTCCTTCAACAGAGCATCAAACACGGAAAACGATAAGTGGCTAGAAGTGTAATTAGCAGAAAGACAAATTAATGGTGACGCATGCAAAAAGAATGGGAATATGAGATTTTCCATCATTATTGAATATACAATCACTTATTGTCATGATAAATACTTGAATTTTTATAATAAAATAAAATAATTTTTCTTGGGTTATTAGTTAATAGCTACAGCACCCCTGGTTCCTAAAACATCCAGAGTTAAAACGAAGTACGCAAAGGCACTTACTTATCCGAATACGAAGAGAAGAGAAGAGAAGGAAGTTGGTCTTCGTCACCAATGGCTGCACCAACAAACCCATAGCCGAGAATGTAACAGCAGCATTCCATGGCCTCACATTGCTTCCTTCGTTATCCTTCCCCTAACCCCAAATTCAAAACCCTTCCCAAACCCCCTTACCACCCTTCCGTCTCCTCGCGAATTCAAACCCCACAACCCGACAACGACAACGACAACGACGCCACCAATCCCCAAAACGACAACCGCTTTGACTTCCTCAAACTCACCGTAACCCTCACCATCATCTCCGCCTCCCTCCCCCAACCCGCCGCCGCTGCTGCCGCCACCAGGGGAAAGAAACGGCCGCCGCGAAAACAATCCTCCAAAAAACTCGAAGCTCTCTCGCCGGAGGAGCTCCGGACATGGACTCAGGGCCTCCCCGTGGTCTCCGATCGCCTTCCCTACAGCGAAATCCTGGACTTGAGAAAAAACGGGAAGCTGAAGCACATAATTAAGCCTAGTTCCGCGAACTTGAGGCTAAGGGGTGAAGCAGTTCTCGTGGTTTTGGACGATTCGAGAGTGTTGAGGACAGTGCTGCCTTCGTTTGAGAGCCATAGCATGTTTTGGGATTCATGGGATGAGTTGAAGATTGATTCATTGTGTGTGAATGCGTACACGCCACCCATTAAGAGGCCAGAGTGGCCCCCTTCTCTTTTGTCCATGATTTGGGTGCCCCCTTTTGTGAAGAATTTCTTTGTTAACATTTTTGAAGATAGGGAGAGAAAGCCCAAGAAGGAGTCCAGGAAGATCGCAGAGTATAGGCAAATGAGGATGGATTTGAAGAGGGAGAAGGAAGAAGAGATGAGGAGGTTGAGGGAAGAGAGGGAGACCATGGAGAGGAACATGAGGATTCAGAAGAAGGAGGAGGAGAGGAAAAGGAAGAAGGAGATGAGGAAGCGGAAGTACCAGGAATCGTTGCGCCAGGCGAGTGAGCGTTACGAGAGAATGGCGTATTTTTGGTCGGATTTGGCCAACAATAGCAATGTGGCTAATGCACTTGGGGTGCTTTTCTTCTACATTTTTTATAGGACTGTGGTGCTTAGTTATAGGAAGCAGAAGAAGGACTACGAGGATAGGCTCAAGATTGAGAGGGCTGAGGCTGAAGAGAGGAGGAAGATGAGGGAGTTGGAGAGGGAGATGGAGGGGATTGAAGGTGATGATGAGGAGAGTGAGCAGGGGAAAGGGGAGGAGAATGCTTATTTGAAAATGGCAAAGCAGTTTATGAAATCGGGAGCGCGTGTGAGGAGAGCGCAGAACAAAAGGCTTCCTCAGTATCTAGAGAGAGGAGTGGATGTCAAGTTTAGTGATGTTGCTGGGCTGGGTAAAATTCGACTTGAACTCGAGGAGATTGTCAAGTTCTTTACTCATGGAGAGATGTACCGAAGGAGGGGAGTGAAAATTCCAGGTCTCGTTTACTTCAACTATGATAACCTCTTAACAGAATAATTTGAATGAACTAACTTATTCTTGAGAAAAAATTAATTTTAAAGGACAGTTTTCATGAACTGGCTATCATATTTTGGCAATGTTGTACTTGCATAAATATTTTATTATCTTGTTGTATTTACTTAGTATTTCATTTATCTCATAAAAAAATATAGAAAGGAAGAAACATTTGATTTTGCAGTGCTTTACACTTGACTTGCCTAAGGTTAGAATTTAAATTCGTCACTTAACCAGGTGGCATACTTCTTTGTGGCCCCCCTGGAGTGGGAAAGACATTGCTGGCAAAAGCAGTGGCTGGCGAGGCAGGGGTTAATTTCTTCTCTATTTCTGCTTCACAGTTTGTGGAGATATATGTCGGTGTTGGGGCTTCTCGTGTTCGAGCACTTTACCAAGAAGCCAGGGAAAATGTATGTGATATTTTTTTTAGCCTTTTCGCTGTTCTCTTTACAAATTTTGTTATTTGTTGAAAGTCAAATTATAGGAGTTTGGTTTTTTCCACTGATTTCCACTAATAGTTTTTCTTGTTAATTGCCATATAAACTTGACCATCCTGTTATTACTTAATCCTCATTATATTTGCTTCAAGCTGACTGGAATCCTTTCTTTTTGATCATATACCTATTTCTCCAGCATCAGTGTTTTCATCTAATTGGCTTCCATTTTTTGTATTATATTTTTCAGGCTCCATCTGTTGTCTTCATTGATGAGCTGGATGCTGTGGGAAGGGAGCGTGGCTTGATTAAAGGTTCAGGTGGACAGGAACGTGATGCTACTCTTAATCAGGTTAAGCTGGCAGTGTTATACTTCCCAACTGCTTTTCTTAAGTAAAGTTGTGTCTATATTGGTTGATGTTTCCTGTTGACTGAATGCTCCAGCTCCTGGTGTGCTTAGATGGGTTTGAAGGAAGGGGAGAGGTGATCACTATTGCATCCACTAACCGACCAGACATTCTGGATCCTGCACTAGTGAGACCTGGCAGGTTTGATCGGAAAATATATATTCCCAAACCTGGCCTCATTGGCCGCATAGAAATTCTAAAGGTAGTAGCTCCTCTAACTATTTCACCTGCATGTAGCATTTAAGATTCTGTTATTTTTAAACAGAATTAATAGTTGTTGATTTGTGACAATGGCACATCACGTAGTTTGCTTACTCAATTTGCCCCCTGGTGCCATAGGTCCATGCTCGTAAAAAGCCAATGGCTGAAGATGTTGATTACATGGCTGTAGCTAGTATGACTGATGGAATGGTTGGTGCAGAGTTAGCCAACATAGTTGAGGTTGCTGCAATCAATATGATGCGTGACTCAAGGACCGAGGTAATAGCATCGATATACAATTTTGTCTGATAGTTATTGTTAATGTATTTCCTTAGGCAATTTATATATTCTTTGCTGCATCGAGTATGGCATGACACAGTCAACTCCTTAACATTTTCCAAAATCAAGCATGCAAATAGAAGTATTTATCTGACTACAAGGGCATGCTTCATCGAAAAATGTATTCATTACTTTGTAGTTCTTAAAGGATGATAGATGATATCAACAGTTTCTGTGTCTACACAATAAGTCTCTAAATTGTGGCACAAGAAAGGTTTCATACATATGTACAAAAAGGGAAAAAGGTCAAAGGAGGAAGTGATGAAAAAATGATTAACTATTTGCAGAACATGGTAGCTGGCAGTTATTAATTTCTTCTTCTCACTATTGCAGATTACTACTGATGACTTATTGCAAGCTGCACAAATGGAAGAAAGAGGAATGCTAGATAGAAAGGAGAGAAGCAGAGAGACATGGAAGCAAGTCGCCATAAATGAAGCTGCAATGGCTGTTGTGGCTGTGAACTTTCCTGATCTTAAAAATATAGAGTTTGTATGGGCTTTACACTATCCATTTTGTTTTCTGATTGGGCATATTCTCTCATATTTGAAATCAGGAATTCTGTTAGAATTGAATTGTATTATTTGTTGAAGACCCCAAATCTTTCTCTCCCGAATAGTTCTTGCAAATGTTTCCATTTGCAAATCCCATCTGCATGCAATATTTCCTGATGATTATTTCTGAGCATATTAGATACGAAAAATTAGCCAAAAGCTTATTTTATTACAAAAAATAGATAAGATTGAAGTGAATTTGAAAGAAACCAAGTTGAGGGAAAAAGGAACCAAACAAGATTCGGCTTGTACATCTTAAAAATAATTATTTTTCCTGCCTTTTTCATTTCTATTTCTTGAATATTATATTGTGCCATGCCATTTGTGCTTGAATCATATAATGTGGTACCCGTGGATGATATCTGAAGCTGGCAATATTACAGTAAAAATGTAATGCTAAATAGAATATGTAGACCAAAACATACATTGACTCTTTAACTCTTTTCTTATATTGAATGGAATATTGCTGCATCTAAGGACAATAGAATGCAAAAGTCAAGGTTGTCCTTTTGTTTATCTGGTTATCTGTATGCATCCACAATGCTCTAGAATAGACATTAAATTCATGCAATTCAGGAAGTTGACCTTCAGAGTTTGGTCTTTTGTTCAATATGTTTTTGAAATTTACCTGTAATTGGGTTTATTCACATAAAAACAAACTTTTCTGTGTTATATGAATACTCGTTATCTGACTGTTACTGACAAGAAACATGATGTTTTAGCTTTTTGTTGATTTGGTGTAGGTCACAATTGCCCCTAGAGCTGGTAGGGAATTGGGTTATGTTCGAGTGAAGATGGATTCAGTAAAATTTAATGAAGGAATGCTCACGTATGGATTCTTTAATTAAACCTTTACTCCTTAAAAATATATATTTAGCTATTGGAGAAGGCTCTCCAAATGAAATGCTGTCTGTTATTACTAGCATCAATCGATATTAATGTTTTCAAAGGCTATATATATTGTCTGCATTATGCATTTGATTTAAATTATTTTTGCTTGATCAAATTGCTTCTAATAACTTCGTTTAGTGCCTCCCATATTATTTTCCTCTTAATTGGTAACTGCTAATATCGTGCAGTCGACAATCCCTTCTTGATCATATTACTGTTCAACTAGCTCCCCGTGCGGCTGATGAACTTTGGTTTGGGAGTGATCAGGTAATAGAATAATTTTACATGCTTCCTTTATTTTTGTATTTGTGAAAAAGGAAAACACAGTAGCAGGACAAACAAATAATGCAATGAACAAAATTTATTTCTAGATTTCTAATTCTGTGAGTGGGATTAGAAACACGTGTCCATAAAATCTGTTGGAGAGATCAAAAGGCAAATAAAAAACAAGGGCAAACAATTTATGGACCTCAGATTTTCTGTATGGCAAGAGAAAATGAGAAATGGCTTTTTCTAAGTTCTTTGATTTTGTTAGTTATGATTTATCGCATTATTTTTTTGTTCCATTTTAAAATTACAGTTTTATATCAGTATTATTGTGTACACAAGTTATTTATTTTAAATGTTTAGTTTATGGGTCCCTTTTATTTTGCTTATATCAGATCATGGATACAGTTTAGACATGTAGAAATATTTTAACTTAATTTTCAATCTTTCAGTTGAGTACAATATGGGCTGAAACTGCAGACAATGCTAGATCTGCAGCAAGGACATTTGTTCTTGGTGGGCTTTCCGAGAAGTATCATGGAATATCCAATTTCTGGGTGTCAGACCGAATTAATGTATGGATTCTGTCCCATGTTTTGTTTTCTTATGATGTTTCTTATTTGCAGCTTTGGCGTCAGTTACAATTGCAACTATAAGTTGAAACAAGAATTCCTTGCAATTTATCTTGAATAAACGAGTGTAACGACTGTAGACCAGTGTATCTTGATAACATTTGGCCTAGTTACGATTTCATTATGTTTGATTATTAGGACATTGATTCGGAAGCAATGAGGATTGTCAACTCGTGTTATGAACGTGCAAAAGAGGTATGTTATAATGGAAATAAGGAGAAGGATTAAAGAACTTCATGCCTCTCTTGATTGAGTAAAAAGTCTCAACCTCATTATTCATGACTGTTTTTTCACTTTTGTTTTGCATATTAGATCCTGGAGCAAAACAGAACGCTGATGGATGCTGTGGTGAATGAACTTGTTGAGAAGAAAAGCTTAACCAAGCAAGAATTCTTCCGTCTAGTAGAGTTGCATGGCTCCCTAAAACCAATGCCTCCAAGCATACTTGACTTACGAGTTGCCAAGTGTAGCGAATTCCAAAAATTGATTAATAGTGAAAAGGAAACAAGTTTGAGGAGCCATGCATGAGAAATTGCAGGGGCAAATGCCCCATCAATTTTGAGGAATAATTCTACTATAGGCATATTTACTGCACCTTATTGATGTATTATGTTATATTCTTTACCGCAACTCTGATGGACGCTGTTCCTTGTTTTTCTTCGTTTTGGTGGAAGGCCATGTTAGAACCTGAATTATAAAAAAAAAAAAAAATGATGCATTGGAATGCTCGACTTTTATAGTTAACTATTCGTGACTCGTCATATAAAAATAAAATAGAACTGATGAAATTAAAAAAGTGTTCAGTGGACTTAAATAGTGAAATAATTAAATAAATTAGTTGTGGAGTAAGAAGATAATTAAGCAAATTAGTTAAGAAATAAAAAGGTAAAAAGAAAATATGGAAACCAAATCAGAGTATCTCTCTTATTAATGTAATAGATTATAGATAATTAAAAAATGACACTGATAATTTTAATGTAATCAATGTTTTGGTAAATATTAGTTTTTAATAAAGTTGATAGATATTTTTTTTCAATATTATGATAAAAAAAATATAGATAATTAATGATCCACTAAAATGATGATTACAGAAAAAGTAGGTTATTATCCCAGTTTAACAAAATTTGCCTTCGCACTAGTGTTAACTCTCTTGATATGCATTTTTGTCAGAAAATCTACTAGTAAAAATCAATTTAAATTCTTCTTTGTCATCGCATTTAAGAAAGTCTTGATATTTTTATCTCTGTCGGTCATTATAGCGAAGACATCTCATTTAATAATGTCATGTGAAATTTACTATATTATTTTAATTAAATTTTTGCTATTTGTTAATAAATCTTTGTAAATTAAATATTAAGTAATTTTTAATTTTTAATTATATTCTAGACTAGCCACATTACTTCAGGGATTTTATAATTATCTTAGGCATAACGATAACTCAAATATAACTTAGGTTTAATCTCCATTCATGCAATTATTAATTACCTGTAAAAAGAAAATTTCCAACGATTGAAACTTTTCAGGCATTGAATCTGTGACTTTTAGGAATTATAGAGTTAAACAATGATCTCATAGCACGGAGATTTACCTTAAAAAGATAAATTTGAAAATTAAGAACCTTTTGCAAATGTAAGTTAATGTTTTTTATTTTTAGACAATTTTTTTTCTTAGAACTACCTCTTAAACCACTTTTTTTCTACTAACAAAAAAAAGGCACTTCATACTTATTTTGTATAAAAAAAATAATTATTTTTGTGCATAATTATTGTAGTTTTAAAGTTTTTTAAAAAAAAAAGAAGAAAGAAAGAAAGAGAGAGATAGAAGTTACTTACAGGAAAAAATAATTTTAGAAAGTTTAAAAAAAATAAGGGAGAAAATAGTCCTTATAAAAATGAAAAATATAATGGTATCGATATAATGTAGTTTTTATAATTTTTAAAAATGTTTTAAAGTGAAAAATTCCACGTGATCGTGAACACCAATTTATAAGTGCACTCAATTGGTCTCATGAAGTGACGTTAGTTACTTAGTAGATACCAATTCAGCAATATACATACATGCATGCCAACATGAACGTGTAACCGCCAATACTGCTCCCACGTTGTCACCACAACTACCCACTTCACTCTCAATATTTCATGTGCTCTTATATATATACTCCCAATCATATTGGTTTATCACCATTTTTCGCTTAAATATTCTTTGCTGAAACACAACCATGGCATCCCTTTTGGTCGTCCTATGTACTTGTGTGATCGTTTTCATGGCTGCCACGAATAGTGTTGAAGCTAGCGTGCAATTCAAAGTTGGTTGGCATGTACCTGCCCCCAACAATACTGAATTTTATATCAAATGGGCTGAAAAGAACAGATTTCAAATTGGTGATGCTCTTGGTAAGCTTGTTGAATCCTTCACACTGCATGATTTTTCTTTGCCCCTTTAGCATATAATTTTTCCAACAAAAAATAGATGGACATGTAACTCTTAATGTTCTTGTTTATGCAGTTTTTGAGTACCAGAATGACTCGGTTCTTAGTGTGGAGAAATGGGATTACATTAACTGTGACGCAAGTAACCCCATCACTGCTTTTGACAATGGAAAGAGCACTTTCAATCTTGATAGGCCTGGAGACTTCTACTTCATCAGTGGAACCGATTATCACTGCAATAATGGGCAAAAACTTGTAGTGGATGTGATGCACCCTCATCCTATTCCCAAATCTCCACCACCCATTTCGCTTCCACCACAAAGCTTTCCACCAATGGCTCCTCCACCATCGGATGATAGCTCAGAGGTTCCATCATCAGCCTCCACGCTTCTTACTACAATTGTTATGTCTTCTTTGGTCACATTTGTTAGTGTCATGATGCTGTTAGCACCCTGAAATAGTTGGTTTTCTTTTCTTGATTAATTGCTTCTGGAATACCAGTTGTTTAGGTTAGGTATTAATTAATTATCATTCCAACTTTTTTTTTTTTTTTTCTTTCTTCATTCTCTACCAGTTACTTTCATATCATTGTGGTTTTTGTATTGTATTTATGGACATGGCTTCACTTTGTCTAATGTGACCTTTTGATTTTGGGTTAAAGCATTTGTATTAGTTTACTGCATTGTTTAAGGCCATTTGACTTCGAACTTTTCTACTTATAATCGCAGGATTTCACACTCCGTGAGGAATATGCAATACAACTATAAATAATTCAACATTCAAAGTGAATTAGTCATGCTCTAGAATCTGACAAAAAAAGTATTTAGTAAATGATTATGATGACTAGGAAAAGTAAAAACTAGAACCAAACGCGTCATTGCTTTAATTTATTTACCGTTCCTTTTTTTTTTTCTAATCGCAAGGTTTTCCACTCCACGAGCTATATATACAATTAAATAATTCAACGTTCCTAGTGTGCAAAATTCACGCTCTAGAATCTTTTACAAGTTTTCATTTTTTTTTGGTATAGTACATATCACAAGTTTGAGTTTTTCATTTTTTTTTTTCTTTTCGAAAGAGTTAAATTTAGTAAATCTCTAGTTATCTTCAAGTTTAAAGACTCACTCCACCTCAAATTGCGGCATCATCTCTTTTACTATAAGTTTATTTATATCGGAAACAATTCACAAGTAAGGTTAGGGATAAACATTCAAGAGAAAGATGAAGTAAAAATAATTTTCTAATATGGCTTTGACGTGCAAAATTAAGCGCCTTCCAAATTCAAGACAAAAAGTGGTATTTACTCGCAAAATTAAATCGTTTGACATTGATAAAGTTATATTTATACTGCATATCATTTTCCAATATGATTACCCTAGTCTCTGTTTTATATTTTGTTCTGTACTTCTATCTGACTCTGGCTTGTGAAATAGTTTAAGAAAATATTTATGAACAAATACATCACGAACAATCTTGTATAAGTGGTAGTATGCACATTATTTTTACACGTAACATGTTCATTTTGGGAGCCAAATTAATCAGTATGAATGATAACCCTGTAAATAAGAGCTCTCAAAATCTGAATTTTCACTTTCCTTTTCGTAGCTTGCAGCTCCATCCCCACTTTCATTCCTAGTCTTTCTCCATTTTGATTTTCTGAGCCAGTGCTCAAGCAGCATGACACTGAGACCAATGAAGATTGTGGCCAGAGAGCCACCTCCTAGTGCTAGTAGCACAACAGATAGCCACTGCATCCCTTGACTATGTGGCAAGATCACCCATGTGGCTGCAACATAGCCAGTTGCCATAAATGCCACAGCCACCCACATGACCTTGTGAGCGATTGTCAATAGTATTGTGTGTGGTTTTCTTCTAAATGGAATGATACTAACAAGCACAATGACTATGGACAGAGATGTGAATAGTGCTATGTTGTTGCTTATTGCAAAGACCTTGAAGGCTGTTGTTTTTCCCGCAATTGACTTACCTCTCGATATCATATCAGTATCTATGTGAGAGGGTCAAATCGGATTTTAACCGAGTTACCCCTGTAGAGCAGACAAGTCGGATTCTGACCGAGTGCACCCATGTAGAGGGGTCAGATCGGATTATGACCGGGAAGGTACACTTGTCTTCCAGCCCCGAGCCTGTAAGGCGTAGGAGCTCAACTAGCCATGGAATCGGGAAAATACCTATTGAGGGGTCAGATTGGATTCTGATCAGGTAGGTACAATTTCCCTTCTTTAGTTCAAATTAATTGTAATTTTAGCTAGCGCCAAAGCCAAATATTGTATATACATGTGTGTATGTTTTTATAAAGTTAGAGACAGGAGTGGAATTGGTTGAGTTACATTGGTGCTAATAACATCAAAAGTCAACAACAATTGAGGTTTACCGCGAAACTCGCTTATGCGCTGTGGTCTATGGACATAAAAAATTGGGTAAAATATTAGCGATATGAAAGAGTTTGACGTTTAACAGACGGCTCATTATATATACAATTTTATTTTAATTTAAGTACACCTTTTTTTTTAAATAAATAAATTTTTAAAATATCTTTAATCTTTTTTTATTCTTTAATTTTTTAATTTTATACTTCAAATATTCAATTTAATACTTTTTCTTTTCTTTTCTATACACCTCCTTTTGTCCACTTTCTTACATTCTTCTCATTCTCCACTTATTTTAAGAGTCAGTTTTAATTCTTTTAATTTTTATATTATTTTTTTCTCATATTTTTACAGTTTTCACACTGTTACTCTGCCTCTCCTCTTTCAATTTTCACATCCACCCGAAATAGGAAACTGATTCATGACAATATTGTAGGTATGTACAACTTCTTCAACAGTGTCGGAGTTGCAAGTGAAATGTATGTTTTTTCTTCAAACACTTATTTTTCTTTTACCTTCCTAAAAAGCATAACACTAAATTTAGAGTTACAAAAAATACTTTTCTAAACATTAATTTTAGTGTTTTGAAAAGTATTAGCAACAATAATCGATTTATTGTTCCAAAAATAACTTTCTAAAATTATGTAAAACAACACATTCCCAAATAGTACTTTTTAAAACACTAATTTTTTGAAAAATATTTTTTAAAAGTGTTATTTTACATAATTATAGAAAATTCTTTTCGAAATAATAAATTTAGTATTATGAAAATTACTTTTTGAAAGTACGTAAAAAATACAATTTCAAAAAAATATTTTCCAAAACAACAATTTTACTATTTTGGAAAGTAATTTCTAAAATATTGAAATTAATGTTCTAGGAAGTATTTTCTAGAATACTCAATTTAATGTTGAGGCTTCTAAAAATGTGAAAGGGAGCAAGTGTTTAAAGAAAAAATGTACATCTTCAACATTGTGGAGGAAACTACATGCCTATAATATTGTTGTGCACCAATTCAGTTGCATGTGAAAATTGAAAGAAAAGACGAGAAAAGAGAGTAATATGAAAATTTGAAATAATTAAAATTATCTTTTGAAGTGAGTGTGAAGTGGGAAAAATGTATAAGATTGCATATAAAAATTGAAAGAGAGAAGAAATGAGCTGTGTAAAGAAGAAAAAATTATTAAATTAAAATTTAAAAGTATAAAATTAAAAAATTAGAGAAAAAAAAAATAAAAATATTTTAGAATTTTTTTTAAAAAAAGAAAAAAAAGTGTACTTATAAATTAAAGGTGTATATACCGCTTTAACAGACGTGAGTTGGGTCCATCGTAGAGTTCAGTCCATCTCCTATTCTGGACTGAAATTATGGGAATGCCCAGTCTTGAATTCAATGATGGATCATTTGCCTGGAATAGAATCACACTTGGATTTTTTTTTATTTTTTTTATTTTTTTTTTATTTTTTTGCCTTTAAATCCCGATTGTTACATGCTACAAACACATGATACAACAGGCAATAATTATTTTTTAGGTTTAGATGGTACATTTTAAGTTCGTGAAATTTACTTTGATTTTAGTTTTGGTCTCTATAGTATAAAAGTTTAATTTTTAATAATAAAACTGTATTCAACTCTTAGTCTGTAGTGTTTGTTTCCAGTGATTTATTGTTTACGATTTGAGATTTCCAATTAAATTGAATTTCAGTTCGAGTTTTCCAATTAAATTGTCATGCTTAAGCATTTGGGCATGTTCTGTTCTTTTTAAACAGGTGATAAATTTTTTTGAATTGAGAGCAACCGTTGAAATATAAAAATAATGACAGTTTAAACACATCACAAACAGCACAACTTGTAAATTTCCTCTGGAAACTCGCATTAAAAGCCAAAGAGATGTGGTTATTACCATTTTAATAACAAAATGCAAATGTTCAGTATGTATATTAAAACAAATACATGAAGAAAATTTATAGAAGCACGACAAGCAATTCTTTTATACAGAAACTAAAATCCAGATACACAAAATAGAGAAACAAACAAAATATGTGTATATATATCTGTCTGGATGTCTCCAGTTGAATTCTAATAACTTGTCAGACTATTAATGCACAAAAACTGAGACACTGAATAACATAAGTTTTTGATTTTGAACAGAATCATAAACTCAAACGCCCTTGTAAATCTTTATATGCTTCAGTGAATAGCCCGTTTTGGTGTAACGGGTTTTTCTGCATTAGTTTTGGCTTCTACATTTTTCCATGGCTCTTGGAGCTGCAACCAAGACAATTAGGAACATATTTTTAAGCAATCTTCCATTTCAATATAAAACTAGTTATCCATATCAAAATAATCAAATATTATGATGAAAGATGATATTTGCAATGGAGTGATTCTAGACAACTAATCAAAAACTCAAGATAACATTAAAATAACTCAAGAATATAATTCATGTACTATTTTCAATGGTTGTGGCTCATAACCATAAGCAAGAAATCATGCTTAGACATACCTAGCCCAATTGCTTCAGAGCCTTTCATTATCCTTAGTCTCCGACATGAATCAGTGAACATTCTGCATTTAACAAAGGATTTGAGCTAACTAGTTCAACCATTGAACTATCATAATTTAAAAGTGACATTATACCAAAGCATGATCTTAATATTATGAATTGTAATCAGGACAAGAGGAGAAATAACTTACTCCCATGGAACATCACCCACAAGCATCCAATCTCCATCTTTATCTTCATATGTAAGAACATACTCAGATCCGTGGAGAAGATCCCTCAAAGAGCTCTCACTTAGTCCATCTTTCCCAGGAAGTCCAGGAGAATTGCATTGACCTGATTTTATGTATAGGAAAAAGTTATGGGTGCAGAATTTCAAAAGGAAAATACTATAGCTTAGGCTCTTTCTTGCCAAGTGAATCTACACGGATGTTAAATTCCAATTTTTAAATTCACCAAAGACAAATTTGAACTTGCACAAGAAGTTTCAACATTAAACAATTGGTGAATTGGTAATATGCCTTTGAAAGTCAAACCGAGAAGCTTATGGAAAAAGGCACATAATTAATTTTACAGCTGACAAAAAATGGTCGGTCAAAAATTAAAATAAGTAAAAATGAAAGAAAATTGAAGGTAGAAGTAGTACCAATGGTGAAGCAGCTGAACATCTTCTCAAGAGCTGAAGAAAGCTCCATATAGTTGTAATAGGTTTTGAGATCAACCTTTCTAAGATAAGGGGCACCATCCATACTGACTTTCACATAAAGACAACCAAACCCAGGTTTTCCCTCAGCTTCTTCATTGTTCTTTGTCAAATTAGAGGCCATCGTGTTCTTTCGGAAAGATCGAATTGGTGGCCATCCCACAACCTGTGCTCTGTCGCAAAATTTTAATTTTCATTACTCAAAAAAGAAGAAAAAATTCGTTAGTCACTTCACTTTTTACATTAGAAACAATATCTAACAGAAAAACCCGGATTAAAAATATGAATGTCAATTTTTAATCACACAATTTCATATTTGTTTACTCAAGCTTTACCAACCTAATTCAACATGTTATTTTAATTAAGGCATCACATCTGGCAGAGACAGAGTTTAATATTTTTGTTTATCCTAGGTATGAGAAACACAATAAACATAATACCATATTCCAAAAGGTTAATTTGGCGTTCATGGTCACCAATTCAAAGCCCCCATGAGAAAAAGTCATCCATGGACAGCAAATCAGATGCTAGTTTCATGAATTGCTATATCTCAACAAAAACAATACATCTAACTGAAACTCTTTTAATCATCTGTTCCTTTATTCATCTTGATTATAGCATATGAATAAGAAAAACAACACGTGGATTAGTAATCAGAACAGAAAACAAAGAAATAGTAAAATCTTACTTAGCAGCAGGAGCAGTGGCATGGCCATTTGTTGCAGCAACCTGATCATTCTTTTCCTGAACCGGTTTGGCAAGGTCTTTGTTGGTGTTAGTTTGAGTGTCTAAAGCAACAAGAGTTTTGTCAACATTGGGAGAGAAGAAAGAAGGTCCTTGTCCTTGAGATCCATCAGTGACAATAGCATCAGAGAAGCCCCTCTTAGCCCCAGCCTTCAAAACATTATGCAACTCCTTCCCAAAAAGACACACTCCTCCACCACCTGATTTCTAGGTCAAGCCTCAAAGCCAGAGCATTTAAAAGTGTAATCTGTCCGCTTAGCTCTAGGGTTTTAGGTCTTATACTTTCTTGTTCATGGGCCTCATGGGCCCCGTGAGCGCAGAGATTTTCATAACCGTTAATATTTGGAAAATATTTTGTCATTAAAGATGAGATTTTGTCCCTGATATCATATCAGTATCTATGTGAGAGGGTCAAATCGGATTTTAACCGAGTTACCCCTGTAGAGCAGACAAGTCGGATTCTGACCGAGTGCACCCATGTAGAGGGGTCAGATCGGATTATGACCGGGAAGGTACACTTGTCTTCCAGCCCCGAGCCTGTAAGGCGTAGGAGCTTTTGCTTTTGGTTTAAAATTTGCTAGACGTTTCCGCAACATCATTGGTCCCTCTTGGTACACACCACCAGGGGGACTAATGCCAGCAGCAAAAGTGACGGTGGCAATCAAAACAGCAACTATTACAATCGTATTCCTGGCATTTAGCATTGCCTCTTTGTGCATCTCATAGTGCTTATTCCTCTCAGTATAGCAAGTTTGATCTAGATTTTCCTTTTTTTTTTTGTTCTGATGCTTGTGTTTCCCTAACTTTGTTGAGAAGTAATATGGTCTATAGGTTCCATTCTCAATTCTATCACTCACATGAGGCTGAGAAGGTGATCTAGAATGAGTGCTTCTGCCAACTTGTGCTGGACTAGTACAATCATAAGAAATCATTTCATTTGACACTTCCACTACTGGATTAGGTGTATAACTCCTTGACAGAGAAAGGCTAGATGCTACAGGAGACACAGAATTGGTCTTGTCTAGTTCCTGTGAAAAGAGAGAAGATTGGATGGCTCTTCTACCACCAGCTCTGATAAACGTGGCTTGTAAGTGTCTGTTTTCTGCACTATCCTTAGCCTGGTCAAGGATGTCAAGTGCTGTGATACCTTCCCGGTTCCGCGCATTGATATCCACCTTGGTCTTGTTGATCAAGAACTCTGCCATCTACAATCATTATCATAAATGGGACTATAAGCACCACTACAGACATATGGATTCACATTCTAAATCAATAGGCTATTAATTTTGATTGGCCAGGACACACATTAATTGTTAGAACCCCTTGTTGTATATTAGAGTATGTTTGGATTCAAATCAATTTTGATTGGATGTAGATCGGTGGAAGCAACAATTAGTTGTTTTTGGATCACTTTTGATATGATTCTTGTCTAAACATGGATGACGGATGTGGAACCAATCATGCACTTAATTGACGCCAGTTCAATTTAAGGATTAAAGTCCGAGCAATATTTCATCACAAAATCAGCATAATCCTACTAAAGCCATATACACCAATAGATCTGTATGACACTAATTCCTCACCTTATGGCGCCAGCCTTTAACGGCAAGGTGTAAGACTGTGTTGCAATATCGATCTCGACAATTCAATAGACTGGTCCCATTGGTGACATGTACCAAGAATTCCAAAGCATCATAGCATCCATGTCTCACAGCTAAATGGAATACTGTCTCTTCTTCTCTAGTGACTTGGTGAAATGATGCCGCATTGGATGACACAAAATCTTCAAGGATTGAGACTTTCCCTTTCATTACTGCAAGGTGCAATGGTGTATAGCCATTGTTGTTGTATCGTAAAGCAAAATTCGGATCACGTCTTAGTAGGATCCATGCAATCTCTCCGTGTCCTCCATTACAAGCATGATGCAATGGTGAGTTCCCATCATCGTCGATCACTTGAGTAAGCTCTGACCACTTATTCAACAATTCTCTAACAACATCTGCACAGAAAATTTAAAATTTCTTAGATCAATTATTTAAAATTGTTATATCTAATGACAAATTATTGATCTGAGTAGAACTGAGATCAGTTCCTTTGAACAAGGTCTTGAGTTCAAGTTTGTAGACGGAAAAACGTAAAAAAACAGTTTCCATGGATATGATCTACATAGTGTTTCAAAGTTGATAAACAAAAGTTAATCTACACTTATGTCATAGCTTTCACTAACCAAACAATCAAGCATTATTTTAACACCGATAAAAATCGATCTTAAGAACACCAAGTTGACTCTCCTATCTTAAGACAAACCTTATAACCATATTTCAAAAGATTTGTTAGAGGATGAGAGAGATGGAAATGATATGCATATGCCAGACAGAGAGAACAAGTCTAAGAAGGTAACATATTGATAGATAAGAGATGATAAAATAAATTAAACATACTACAATATATAGCTGAACCTATTAGTCAAACTATATGTAACTAACTAACTTCATGATCAACTAACTAATCATATACTCTATTAAATAAGTTCAAAAAACATTCAAACTTAATGGAGTAAACTATTTTATGGTCACCTGTGTGCCCCCTTGATGCAGCAATATGGATACAAGTTTGATCAAACCCTGCTTCCTCTGGCCCCACCATATCAGATAGATTGAGCAGGAGATTCACCATGTCAAGATGACCATGGCTGCAAGCTAGAAAACAAGCGCTTTTACCATTCTGATTAAGCTTACAAACAGCTGTGGAATTGGCATGAAGCAGCAACTTTAAGACCCCAACATTCTCTTGTCGGCAAGCCTCGTGAATTGGAGTCTCCAGGTTTTTATTCTCAGCAGATACCATGTCAGGGCACAACCTCACAATCTCAGACACTATTTCAGTGCAACCGTACCTGGAAGCAACGTGTAATGGGGTGTTCAGGATATCAGCAGTTCTCTGGTGGAGAATTTCTTCATTCTCTTTAACTAGGCTTGAAAATGTGGTTAGGTCATTAGTCCTAACTGCATCATAAAACTTTGGATCCATGTTCCTCAGCTTGAAAATGCTTGAGGAAGTAAGAACCTAAATAGGGAAAAAAAAAAACTAAATTATTCTTTTCTTTATAATCCGAAATATTTACGCAGATAACATAAAGATTAAAGAGAATTGACTTTTGAGGAATTGAGCGTGTGGTTTTGGAAAAATTTGTGAACCTCACACTTGAACATTTTCAAGGAAAATTCGGGTTGCTTATTAAGCGTCACAAAGAAGCTTCTTGGCATGCAATCACCCATGTCATAGGGGCCAACATGCACTATTATACTCCTATACGCTTAGTCAGATAAAATAAGTCCCATATCTATTTTATATTTCTGCAGGTAACTAAATACTAATCACCAATTTTATAAATATTTATCGATATTTATGAATTTTATCATTCCTACATACAATTCATGTGAAAAGTTAAGTGTTTCTTTCCCTATATTA